TGGAGAAACTGAGGCTCGGAGGGAGGATCCCACCAGCTGATCTCGGGACAGCACCTTTCCCCTCGAACCCCAAACGCTGTCCTTTCATACCTGCCGCGTCCCCAGACAGTCCTGGTCCCCCCCAAACAGCATTTCTCGCACGACTTTGTGTTGGCGTTGAGTATTCGCCGACGGCCTCTCGTCCACGTCGTGCAAGCGAGATGCTGTGACAGATCAGAGATTTCGTCCTCGCTGGGGCCTAACAGAGAGAGAAAATGAGAGGTGCGGAAGGAGAGGGAGGGGCGTTAAGGTTTTAAAAGCAACGTTGACCCTGGCAGACGCCGGCTCTGTGATTCTGTCCAAGTGCTGAACTGGCTGCCCTGTGACTCCCTGCTTCACAGGGTCAGAGCCGAGCTCCCAGCGGCAGGTGTTTGGGAAACCCTCGTTAGCGGCAGGCCGGCCTGGTGAGCTGTAGCTCCGCGTCCACTGGGAATCACCCTTGGTGGCTGCCCTGGTCTCCGGGGCATCCAGGCTTGTTGCGTTTCCTGAAGCGGGGACGTGGGCTTTTCCCTGCTCTGAGAGAGCTAAGGTGGAGAGAATTGAGCCCCGTGACTTGGATACTTTGTACTTTAGAGTAATTAATTACCTGCCTGTGCTAGAGTGTAGCTGTATGCCTCAATTAGATAGACGGCCAGTTCGTGTTTCAGAGTACCCAATTTATGGTATCCCTCCGCCTGCATTTCTTCACGAAGGGGAATGGAGAGTGAGTGAGACAGGTGAAATTTCAGTCTTTTTTTTTTTTTTGGAAAGAGATTTTTGCTACAGGACGTGTGCACTCCTCACTCCTCAGAGACAGATGGAGAGACAGAAACCCAGAAATCACCCCCCCCTCCCCCCAGGGGACATGGCCACGCCACAGCCCCTTCCCTTACATTCTCTGGATTTGGGGCAGGCATGCAGGTGCCTGATCGGGACTCCAACTCCGATTATCCCCGTGGGAACACCTTGACCACTACACTACCTGCTGGCCCCAAAGTTCCAGTCTTTAAGTATTTAGGAGTATGTCATGGAGAAAGACTGATATAAGTAAATGTAGAAAGTGGCTTTTGGGCATTGCCCAGTGAATTTCAGTTAGGTGTACTAAGTTTCTAAGAACAAATGATCAGGGAGAAAAACCTAAGGGAAGAGCCTGACTGGGTCAGTATAGCTATGTGTAAGTAAACGTATAAATTTTTTTGATCATGGATACCTTTTGATAATATTAAACAATGTTCTTTCCGGATAAATGTACTTATGTATAAAACTTGCTTACAAATCCTCAGGGTTCACAGACTTGCCCTGTATTAAAGACACAGGATAAAAAATACTTGGTTAAATAAATGGAAATAAAACTGTTAATCCTAGAAAAGCTAGGTGTGATCATGAGTTCAAACTGCTTTTGACATGTAAAATGTGGATATGTTTTTTTCAGCCTTAGATTGAGGAGTTCCAAGTTAGGAGTTCTCTTTCTAGATAATGAAGAATGTAGCACTTCAGAGAACAGTTGAAATAATCTACATTATTAGTTGTCTGTGTTATCTGAGTAGAACCCCTTGAGGTTTTGAAGTATTGTTACCATAGAACAGACTCCGAAACTGGTTTTCAGTCTTTGATTTCAGTGCTCTTAGTTTCAGAGCATTTTATGATAAGGATGTGCCCACATGGAGACTATATTGTCACCCATGTTACAAATTCAGACTTCAGGAGTTGGTCTTCTCTGTTGTGTCCTCCCCCCACACTTGGTACTAATCTATAGTATTCAAAAGGTTTTCTTTGAGATATTATTTGTCTTGAGTTTCATAATACAGCATTTCCCTGGTTTTATCCTACACACTGCTTTCCTATCTTTGCAGTCTGATTTTCTTCACCTAGATACTAAATGTTGGACACCTTCAAGGCTCAATCCAGTGCTCTCATTTAGCAATTTCTAGGTAACCTCTTCTGTACTCTAGGAGTACTCTAGAAATTGTAGTCCTAGGGGCCAGCAGGTGGCAAGGTGGTTAAAGGTGCTGGATTCCCACATGGTGGACCACAGTTTGAGTCTCAGACTTGGAAGCTTGCTTTCTCACTTCCCCTTTCTCTCTCTCTCTGGTTAAATAAAAGAATAATAATAATAATAAATGGAATTAAGTAAATAAATCTTTAAAAAAAAAAGAAATTGTAGTTCTAACCCAGACCTTTCCTCTGAATTTGACTATAGCCCTCCCTCTTCTCTAGTTGACATTCCTTTTTATAGTCTTAGAAGAATTAATAGTCAGACCACCTCCCCCTCCCAGGTCTTATTCTAGTGTTCCATATCTTAGAAAATAGCATCATAGGGACCAGCAGTTTGCATAATGGCTATGTCGCTGGACTCCCATGTAGTCGACCGTGGTTTGAGTCCCGGACCCAGTGGCTTAAACTCACGCTGGGCATGTGTGCGTGGGTGCCCAAGATCCCGAGAGGAGAATGGAGGAGAAGGGATTGCGGTTTGACCATCCCCCTTGGGGCTGATTTCTAGCTTTCTGTCTCTCAGTCTCTCTCTGTCTGTCTGGCAAGTGCACGTGCCCTATAGCAAAAACCTCTCCAAAAAAGAAAAAAGAAAATAGCATTATAAATTTAATTACACAAATCAAATATCTGAGCCCCATTGTTAAGTCTAAAGTATTTTATCTTCAAATGCCTGTTACTGACCCTCTCCTTCATTCTTAATAATAACTGAAAGCAATCTGTCCTTATGTCAATAATTAATACAAAACCAAAATTGTGAGTGAGGATTTAGTGTTTTAGGTTCTTTTGTTCATATTTAATGGGAGTAGGTCAACTTGATGAAGATGAATTGAGAGTGAGTATGCAAGCAAACAAAAAGGATTTTTCAATATTATTTTTAATTTAGTCAGCTCTCAGTTGGTCTTTTTTTCTAAAGTGTAAATTAACAAAGTGATCTGTTGACAGTCTTTATGGAACATAAGTTGAACTTGATGGGGACTCTAATTTGGGTGAAGTTTCCAAGAAAGAAAAATCCCTTATCAAGAGCAAAATCATGACTTGTGTAGAGGCAGAAATTATACTAAATATAAGTATGAAGTCAACGTGATCCAGGGTGTAAGTAGTACAAAAGATACTTCAGTCCTGCATAAACTTAAATGCAGAACAAGTCAGAAAGTTTGGAACTCATATAAGTATTGTGTATGGGACCAGCAGATGGCATAATAGTTAGGTTGCTGGACCCCCAAAATGGCTGCCTCTGGGTCCGGCAGTTTGAACCTCATGCCAGGAGTAAGTGCATGTGTGCCCGAAATCCCTAGAGGAGAAAGGAAGAGAAGGGATTGCAGTGTCCCCCAACCTTCCCAACCCCCTCCAACCCTCCCCCCAGGGGTGGGGTGGGGGTGGTTTCTCATCCTTTCACCCCCTCTCCAGCCAGCACAGGCACCCTATGGCAAATAACCTAAAAAAAGAAAAGGAGAAAGTTTCCTGAAGGTGAGATGCATATAAATCATTTGACTAGTTTTTTGGTTTTTGTTCTTTTTTCTCTCCAGATTTTAACATGGCAGGGCGGCATCAGAATCGTAGTTTTCCTCTTCTAGGAGTTCAGTCAAGTAGTCAAGTACATGCATTTGGAAACTGTACAGATAGTGATGTATTAGAGGAGGATGCTGAAGTGTATGAACTTCGATCCAGAGGAAAGGAGAAAGTCCGAAGAAGTACATCAAGAGATAAACTCGATGACATTGTACTATTAACAAAAGATATACAGGAAGGAGATACTTTAAATGCAATAGCCCTTCAGTACTGTTGTACGGTAAGTTTAATTTCCTTTTATTTAATTACTCATTCATAGCCAAACCCACATTGAAGTAAATTGTCCTTTTTATCTTATTGTTTTCTCTTTTTTTTTTTTTTTTTTTAAATTCTTTTTTAAGTAGAATTCTTGGTCATGTCAGTAAATACAAACTTTTTTTGAGAGAGAGGTTTTTGCTATAGGGCATGTACACTCACCAGAAAGACAGAGAGACAAAAAGCGAGAAATCACCCCCCGAGGGGATGGCCACGCTGCAATCCCTTCTCCTCCATTCTCCTCCCGGGATCTTGGGCACACACGCACATGTACCCTGTGTGAGTTTAAGCCACTGGGTCCAGGACTTGAACTGTGGTCAACTACATGGGAGTCCAGTGACATAGCCATTATGCCAACTACTGGTTCCAATAAATACAAGCTTTTAAGTGAATACTTAAATTTCTGTTTACTTCCAAATCCATGATTCTATCATTGGTATTGAAAATTATCCAAATGTTACCTTCTTACTCAGGTGTTAAGAGAATGTGGACGTATGTAATTAAAACCTTTTTCCTGCCCCAATTTCCTGAGATAACCAGTGTTAATATTATGGTGTTTTATTCTGTACTGTATATAAGCATGTATATGTCTGTATACACTTAAGTTGAACTTTAAAATAATTTTTTATTGGGACCAGCAAGTGGCATGGTGGTTAAGGTACTGGACACTCCCACATGGACAATCACGGTTCAAATCTTAGACCTGGTGGCTTGCTTTCTCACTTTCTCTCTGTTTCTCTCTCTCATCAAATTAAAATGAATGAATGAATAAATAAAATTTTAAAAATTATGGCCATGACGTTCTGCATATTACTTTTTTTCTGGTAATTATTATAATTACAATTCATCAAAACAAATATGTTACCAAATTTTTACTTAAAAATTTAGTAAAATATTTCATTGAAATGTAGTTTGTTGTTGTTGTTCAAATAAGAAGAGCTAGGAAGTTGAGTTTTTTTCACCTAACTTAGTACACATGTTTATGACAACACTTTCCCTGTCATATTAAATTAGGTCATACTTAACTCCTTTTTTTTTTTTTTTGGCTATAGAGTGTGTGTGCTTGCCAGAGAGATTGAGAGAGAAATCACCCCTGGGGGATGGCTGTGCTGAAGTCCTTTCTTGAGGACTTTGGGCATATAGGCACATGAAGTTGGCCATGTGGGATCTAACCGCCTTAACCTCCATGCTACCTGCTGGCCCTCTAATTTCATTTTTTAATGCAAGTAATCATGACTATTGTTTGTAGAGAAATAAGACCACTGAGAAACAAATTACAGAATGCGTCTTAGAAAGTTGATAATGGAATCAAGACTTTGACATGAGAGGCAAGGCTAACAACATCCAGATGGAAATCCAAGAGGCGAGTGTGGTCCAGTAGATTTATTAGAATAAGCTTTCACTGGGGCGAGTAGGTAGCGTGGTGGTTAAGTCACTAGACTCACATGGTCAACTACAGTTCGAGTCATAGACTCACTGGCTTGTTTGTGCATGCCCCAAAATCCTGAGAGGGGAATGGAGAAGTGATTGCAGCATGGCTATCCTCACTGGGGAGTAATTTTTTTTTTGGAGAGGTTTTTGCTATAGGTCACGGGTGCTCGCCAGACAGAGAGATAGAAAGCGAGAAATCACCCCACATGGGTGATGGCCATGCTGCAATCCCTTCTCCGTTCTCCTCTTGGGATCCTGGGCACACACCGCACCGCGCCGGGCAGGAGTTTAAGCCACCGAGTCCGGGATGCGAACTGCGGTTGACTACGTGGGAATCCAGCAACATAGCCACTACGCTAACTGATGGTCCCTGGGGAGTAATTTCTCATTTCCTGTCTCTCTATTTCTCTAGTGAGTGCATTTTCACTGTGGCAAAAACCTGAAAATGGATAAGCTTTACTGAGACCAGCAGTTAGTGTAATGGCTATGTCGCTAGACTCCCACATAGTCAACCACGGTTCAAGTCCCAGCCGCGGTGGCTTAAACTTATGCCATGTGCATGTGTGCCCAAGATCCCGAGAGGAGAATGGAGGAGAAGGGATTGTGGTGTGGCCATCCTGGGGAGTGATTTGCTTTCTGTCTCTGTGTCTCCTCTGTCTTTCTGGTGAGTGCACGCACCCTATAGCAAAAACCTCTCCAAAAAAAAAAAAGCTTTACTTTAATGAACATGCAGAAATTTCAGAAAAATTTGAAATGCTGTCTGAGTCAATAAAAATAGGCCATAGTGGGGACCAGCAGATGGCGTAATGGTTACGTCACTGGACTTCCATGTAGTAGACAGCAATTTGAGTCCTGAACCCAGCAGCTTAAACTCATGCTGGGTGTGTGTGTGTGTGCTTGCCCAAGATCTCAAGAGAAGAATGGAGGAGAAGGGATTCCATGTGGCCATCCCTGCGGGGGGATGATTTCTCACTTTCTGTCTTTCTAGCAAGCACATGTACTTCATAGCAAAAACCAAAAATAAAACAAAACAAAAGCCATAGTTCCAATGAGGTGAAAAGAAGAAAGTGTTTCAGGCATGTTAACAGTGGTGTAGAGATGACTGGAAGAAGGAAATAACGTAAGCAACAGAGGACTTTTTAAAAAATTATCTATTTATTATTATTATTCAGTTTGACCAGAAAAAGAGTGAGTGAGAAAGCAAGCTGCTAGGTCTGAAACTCGAACTGCGGTCAACCATATGGGAGTCCAGTACCTCAAGTATCATACCACCTGCCAGCCCCTAGAGGGAGTTTCAATAGGTATTTTAGAAATGAGTGACATGGACTAGGATGAAGCAGTCAGACAAAAAAAAGTTTGATCCATATAGTAAAAAGAACTGTATTGTGAGATTTTAACAGGGGAGATACAAAATGGTGGAGGAACCTGCTAATGAATTGGAGGGGATCCAAAGAGATTGGAATAATTCAAATGAACAAGGCTTAGACTAAAATATCAGCTTTTCAGCAGGAAGGGTTGAAAAAGAAGCAGGTAGAAAGTGTTATTTGGAGGAACGCTGCAGGATTTATCAGCTGATTTCTTACTTGAAATGAATTAGGGCCAGCAAGTAGTGTGGAGGTCAGAGTGGCTGGATCCCACATGGCTGACTCCACTGCTCGAGCCCCAGACCTGGCAGCTTGAAAATCACACTGAGTGCAAGTGTGCCCAGAATCCCAAAAGGAAGATGGAGAAGGGATTGCGGGATGGCCATCACCCCTTGGGGAAGTGATTTCTTTTTCTTTTTTAAAAATTATTATTTTTACTTAATTTTTATTTATTCATTCACTTATTATTTTTAATTTGAATAGAAAGAGAGAGAGAGGGAAAGTGAGAAAGCAAGCAATCAGGTCCAGGACTTGAACTGTGGTCAGTCATGTTGGAGTGTCCAGCACCTTAACCACCATGCCACCTGCTAGTCCCTTGGGGGAGTTACTTCTTACTCTGTCTGTGTGTGTGTCTCTTTCTGGAGAGTGCATGTGCCCTATAGCAAAAATTTTTTAAAAAAGAAAGAAATGATGAAAAGTGATTAGCTTAATAACATTTTTTAAAAAAATAATAATTACTTTATCTTTTTAAAAAATTTTCCATAGGGCACATAAACTCACCAGAGAGAGAGAGAGAAAGAGAGAAAAAACAAGCCACCAGGTCTGGGACTCAAATCACGGTTGGCCATGTAGGAGTCCAGCACCCCAACCACCATACTACCTACAGACCCTGTGATTATTTAACATTAAAGGTGAGAGAGCATTGGCCAAGTGGTGGGAAAGTTGATACAATAGAATTAGGGATTTAAGATAAGCATTGTCCCCTTTTGATGGGAGCCTAACTAGTGAAAAAAATGGATTAACCTTTTAAAAGGACTTATAAATGAGGCCAGCAGGTGGTGTGGTGGTTAAGGTGCTGAACTCCCACATGGCCAACTATGGTTCAAGTCCTGGGCCTGGTAGCTTGCTTTCTTACTTTCTCTGTCTCTGGTCAAGTAAAGCAATAGTAATAATAATTAAATAAAAAATAATAACAAATCTTTTTTAAAAAAAGGATTTATCATCATTTAAAAAATACAGTAAATATAGACTGCCCTTGTAGTACAGTTGTTAAGAGAACCATATCCTACATGGCTAATCCTAATACACATCTGGGCCAGGTGTTTGGAAAAAACCCATGGTACATGTGTGCATGCCCAAACTACTGAGGAATGGAGGAGAAGATTGTGGTATGCCTACACCACATTGGGGCGCTTTCTCCCTGGCAAATACATATGCCCTCTGACAATAAAAAACATACAGTAAGTAGTCCTGTGTTTCACTTATAGTCTTAGGAATTATTTAAAAATAGGCTTTTATGGAGCTGGCAGGTGGTGTGGTGGTTGGGGCACTGGACTCTCACATGGCTGACTGTTGTTTGAGTAGTCAAATAAAGCAGTCTGGACCTGGCAGCTTGCTTTCCTACTTTCCCTTTCTCTTTCTGTTTGTCTCTCTGGTCAAATTAAAAATGATAATAAAATAAAATAATTTTTTTTTAAAAATAGGCTTTTTATATGATTAAACTAAAAACTCCAAAGTTGTAGTCTTAAAGGCAGCCAAGGATGTTAGCATAACAGAAAACAGTACAGGGGTATGCAGAGAGATAATCTAGGTTGATAATAAATCTGGGAAGACTCCTTCAGAAAGAACATGGAGTTAGTAAAAGTATGTAATAACAAAAGAGAATTTAAAGAAGTGGAGTGCAGCTTTGAAATTTGCCAGTGAATGTTGATTTTTTTTTTTTTAAGAGAGATTTTGCTACAGACACGTGCGCTCACCAGAGAGACAGAAAGTGAGAAATCACACCCTCCTCCCCAACCACCCAGGGAGGACGGCCTCGCCGTGGGCACCCATGCACATACTCCTGGAGTGAGTTTTAAGCTGCTGAGTCTGGGACCTGAACTGTGGCCCATTATGTGGGAGTTCAGTGATGTAACCATTATGCCATCTGCTGGTCCCAGTGAATGTTGATTTAGAACAGCCTCGAAGTAGAAGATGACACAAAGCACCCTTTATCTTTACTGTCACATCTCCTAGTCCTTTGTCCCTATTCCCCTGTCGCATACATTCCAAGGGAATTTTCTAGTATGACCAGTCTTCCTCATATTTAGAAGATTTGTTCATTTCTCCCATCCTTTTTATTTTCTCTTTCTTTCTAATTCTCCTTTCCTTGACCTCTGTAACTATAGGTTTCTGATTTTCTTACTATTTAATAATTGCTAACATTTGTAACATTTGTAAGACATGTATTACTATTTTAAGTATATGCATGCTGTATTCATTATTGTTCATGTTGACTTTTAAAGTAGGTAGTATTATCCACTGCCATTTTCGAGGTGTGTAAACTGAATAGCAGAGAAGTTAAACAACTTGCTCCAAATCATACAACATTTGATTTTAGGTTTTAGCTATATGGCACATGTAGTCACAAGACAAAGTGAGAAATCACCCCCTAACGGGGGTGGTCATTCTGCAATCCCTCTTCCATTCTCCTCTTGGGATTTTGAGGACACGTGTATATGCACCTGGTGTGATTTTTGAGCCATCTGCTTGTGGACTTGTACAGCAGTACCACTTGCTAACCCCCATAACTATGTCTTTTTTTTAAATTTAAGAATTATCCCATTTGTTCTTATTTTTTAATTTGACGAGAGAGAAATTGAGAGAGAAAGGGAAAGCGAGAAAGAAAGCTGCCAGGTCTGGGACTTGAACCATGCTCGGCCATGTGGGAATCCAGCACCTTTAACCATCATGTCACCTGCCAGTCCTGACTCCCATAACTATGCTTTTAACCACTATTGTATATTGCCTTCTTAGCAACTCTCTTAATCTCCTTTATGGATTTCTTTTACTCAACATACTCCTCAAATGTTGCTATTCCTCAGGGATCTAACCTGTTATTTGCCTCTCAGTCTTTCTAGTGAATCTGTTGCCTCTGCGACTTCAGTTACCATTTTTGGTGCTAATCCACCAATCCACATATCTAGCCAAGATCATTCTTCTGAGTTTTAGAGCTGTATCTATAACTGCTCACAGAACATATTCCACTTGTGTTTTATCTATGAATATTAAACTATTGAGGCCAGCAGGTGGTGTGGTGGTTAAGGTGCTGGACTCCTACATGGCCAGTGGTGGTTCAAATCCCAGACCTGGTGGCTTGCTTTCTCACTTTTCCCTCTCTCACTCTTTCTGAACAAGTTTAAAAAAAAATGATGATGAATAAAATTAAATAATTCTTTTAAAAAAAGAACTAAAACCGGGGTCAGCAGTTAGCCTAATGGCAATGTTGCTGGACTCCCATGTAGTCAACCGCGGTTTGAGTCCCGGACCTGGTGGCTTAAACTCACGCTGGGCGTATGTGCATGCGTACCCAAGATCCCGAGAGGAGAACGAAGAAGGGATTGTGGCATGGCCATCCCCCATGGAGGGTAATTTCTCACTTTCTGTCTCTCTGTCTGGCGAGTGCATGCACCCTATTGCAAAAACCTCTCCAAACAAACAAACAAAACAAAACAAAAAACTAAAAAACCACACTAGGTGTATGTGTGTGCCCAAAATCCCAAGAGGAGAATGGAGAAGGGATTGTGGTGTAACTATCCCTCCTGGGGGGATGATTTCTCACTCTCCCTTCTCACTGTGTCTCTCTGGCGAGTGCATGTGCCCTATGACAGAAACCTTAAAAAAAAATTAAAATTTCTTGGTGTGATAACATAATAATTCAAATTAAGCATACTTTTTTTTCCCTTTCAAGCACCTGAAAGATGATATGTCCAAAATCTACATCTACCCTTTTCTCATCTCCCGAGGTATTTCATGTCTTTGTGAATAGCCTCATCAGCCATTGAGTTGACCAAACCAGAAATCTAAGTTCTGTCCTAGATTCACATTATCCGTCTGATAGCAGTCAGGTGGTACATGATTAGGGCTTAGATTAAGGCATTAATGGAAAAGATAAACAGGGCTGTCATTTAAGGTGGAGGAGTGCCTGTCATATTAATTACTATTCTGAGAAAAACATTCCTTTTCCTCCTTATCCCAGTGATAGGGGATATAGACATATTGAGAACGTTATATAAAGTACAGGGAAAACTTATAAAATGATCTCAAAAGTAATGCATTTACACTGAGAAGTTAAAGAGAAAAAGTGGCTTTAGAAGGCAAAATTCTTATTTTTTAAGAATTACTTAATTTAACTGTACTTACTCATTTTTTTTTTTTTTAGTTTGACCAGAGAGAGACAGAGAGAGAGAGAGAAAGAAAGGCAAAAGTGAGAAAGCAAGCCACCAGGCCCAAGACTTGAACCATGGTCAGCCATGCGGGAGTGTCCAGCACCTTAACCACCATGCCACCTGCTGGTCCCATTATTTTATTTTAGTCTTCAGAAAGTTGGTAGTAAATACATATTATGGAAAAACTAGAGATTTCTTTTTTTTTTTTTTTTTTGAGAGATTTTTGTTACGGGGAGCATATGCTCACCAGAGAGCCAGAGAGACAGAAAGCTCTCATCCCCGCTCCCCAAAGAGGGATGACTACGCTGTAATCCCTTCTCCATTCTCCTGGCAGGAACTGTGCACACACGCCTGGTGTGTGTTCTAAGCTGCTGGGACTCGAACTGCGGTCAATTACGTGGGAATCCAGTGATGTAACCATTATGCCATCTGTTGTTCTTTAGACTTCAAAGTTTTTACAACAAAGTAAGTTCATATTTTGTCTTTTTCCAAAAACTTTGAAGTTCGATCGATTGATTGATCGATCGATCTATCCACTTCAATTTGACCAGAAAAGGGTGGTGGGGAAGAGAAAGTGAGAGGGCAGCAAGTCGCTGGGTTCGGGACTCAAATTGTGTTCAGCCATGTGGGAGTCCAGCACCCTTAACCACCATGCCACCTGCCGGCCCTGAAGTACTCTTACATATTTTTTTCACACACTTCAACATCTTTGAGATTGGAATGGAGGCATCTTCGGTTGGCAGTTTTTTTTTTACTTAAGAGATATGTATATATTGGCCCCTCTTAAGAGTTGATTGTGTCTTAGTTTTGATAACATAGTAATTTTACTTAGTTAGCATTTACCTATGCTTCCCATTGTGAAACTGGAATAAATATAAGCATCTGAAATCCTTCCTTCACAAGTTACTTACAGGCAGCAGCATCATGGTATTTGTGAATCATGCCCAAAGGGAAATGGCACAGGATCCCAGTGTCTAGTTAAATAGTAACAGTAAGTAGTTACTAATATGTAGGTGATGATAAAAAGGCAGTTTGATTCCCTAAGACCAGTAGATCCAAAATGGTATAGAAATCGCATCTACAAATGAAATGTCTTGGTGTGGTAACTTCATATTACTACTAATTGGAATTATGGTCACTTTATTTCCTTCAAAGATAATAGATGATTCTTGCTACCATTATTTTGACTTAGAATTTAGTCTAATTTTTGTTTTGTTTTTAAACAGGTAGCAGATATCAAGAGGGTTAACAATCTCATCAGCGATCAAGATTTTTTTGCCCTGAGGTCTATCAAAATACCAGTAAAAAAGTTCAGTTCACTGACTGAAACACTTTATCCTCCAAAAGGAAGACAAACTTCACGTCCTTCATCTGTTCCATTCACTCCAGAACAGGAAATTTTACCAGCTAGTGATTCTTTTTCTTCCAGTGAGTCAGCTGGTAGCTTTTTAAAAGAAGTAGACCGAGACATAGAACAAATAGTAAAGTGTACAGACACCACGAGAGAGAACCTCGATGAGGTAGTGTCTGCCTTAACAGCACAACAAACACGATTTGAACCTGATAACAGAAACACTCAACGTAAGGATCCCTACTATGGAGCAGACTGGGGAATAGGGTGGTGGACAGCTGTAGTGATCATGTTGATAGTAGGTATAATAACGCCAGTATTTTATTTGCTGTATTATGAAATTTTAGCTAAAGTGGATGTTAGTCACCATTCAACAGTGGATTCTTCACATTTGCATTCAGGAATCACTCCCTCATCACAGCAGAGAGAAATGGAAAATGGAATTGCTCCAACTAAAGGAATACACTTTGGCCAACAAGATGATCATAAACTATACAGTCAAGATTCTCAGTCACCTGTTGTCGAACATAAAACATAGCAGTTAGCCATAATCACAGTGTTACCGATCACACGTACATCTGGGATATGCTGAGTCAGTTATATTAAATAACCACTTCAAAGGCAGGACTTAGGTAGAGTGAAGAATTTTTTTCAACTTTAAAAATAAAAAAATTGAGCCATTTATAAGTGGAGTTGCTAGTTGATGTTGAGAGCAATCCATAAATCTGTTGTTGGCACTTAAAGCAGAAATGAATTTAAATGTGTTTAGAAGGCTCTTCTTGGATCTTTTTTCTTACCCAAGGCTACTTATGTATAAATCTTATTTTTTAAAGATATTTTTGGTTTAAGGTTATTAATGTTAAATTTATGAAGCGGCATAATGATAGCGACTGGAGATTTTCTACTGTAAACCACCAAAATACCTGGCTGTAACAAAGTTTGATCCTAAATTATTTATGATACTTAATACTCTGTTTTGAAACTTAAGACAGTACATGTACTATGAAAGCATAAGTAGAAAGAGAGGTGGGGATATAATGTGTCCTTCCTGTGATAAGGTTAAGAAGTACATCAAATATTTTTAAGCCCCCAAAATAATGTGTTATGGTGAGAGTGTTGCCATGTGGTCACGAAGATAGATCAAGACCTAGAAGTAATTTTTTCTCTCTTAATGCAGTAAGTCAGAGCCCTTTACTTCACCTCCACTTCTGTTATTAAGATGTTATTTTTGCCTTGATATTTAAAAGCACTTTTGTAGTTCTTTGATAAGTATTACACATGTAATAATCCCTTATATACTGTGAGAAATCATTGCTGTGTGACATGGTAGCATGCCTTAATTACATCGAATGCCTTATGATACTAATTTAAGTAAATTAATGTAAGTTTAGACTTAAAATGAAATATTATTTCAGATGGACCAGTCAGATTCATTACATAAGTCAGATAAATTTGTATCTACTTTCATTCTCAACCACAAGTTAATAGGATCAAAACATCTTTATTGTCTGCCTCTGAGGTCTGTTTCATGAAATGGTTTGTTAAGCAAAAACAAGAGTGAAGAAGCCTTCTGCATTAGGGGTAGCACAAGAATTAGCGTTTTCTCTTAACTTCTGTTGTTCAAAGAGAAAATGTCCAACTAGCCGCCTTTTTTCCCTAAACTGTAACATCAGATTGGAGAACAGGTGCAAAGTGTAGGTTTGATTAAAGGGCTTGATAGTGTCAATTTTTAAGATCTGGTATGGATCAGCTACAGTCTGGCTAAGAAGTATTTGTATACTGATTTCATCGTGTAGTTTGTTAAAGTATGTTTTTAAAAGTGTAACCAAAATGATTCAGCAGAAGTGAGATTTGGTGGAGTCTGGATTGCTTGTTTTATGTATATTAAAAAGTATACTTTAATATATATAGACTATCACCTCATTTTCTGGGCATTATTTCCTAATATATGATGTGTCAGCTTTTGGGTCAATTATATCTCAGATTCCAATCTTAACAAAAAGGGGCATGAATATTTACAGTAGGTGGGGCTTTATGTACTGTAAGGAGAAAAGCATCTTAAAAAGACAGGACAAAGAAGTTAAAACATCCAAGCCCTTTCTTAAGTTAGAGGACCTTAGGCAGTTACCAAAAGGCTTTTAATAGGGAATCGTAGCAAATTGATTCTTCAAATATCTTTTCTTTAAACATTTAAAAAATTGTTTTATTGTGTCTTGTGTATCTTGAGAAGAGAAACATCTTCTGAATTTATATTCAGTGTTACTTCATCTATTTACATTGTATTAAGCCTGCTGAAAAATCAAGTTTAGGGAACAAATGATAAATTAGAGTAGAACAGGCTAGATGTCTTTGAAGAACTTTATTTACATCCAACTGTTAGTGATTCCTTACTAGTTCTACTTTGAAAGTGTGGTGGAATGGTCTGATTTTCAGAGTAAGTCATTTATTTTTAAAGTAATGAGTTGTACTGTGTGCTTACTGATTAAAAATCACCTCTGCCTTGCAGAATACCCTTTTTAAAGGAAATGTGTATCTTTATGACACAATCAGGCAGTTTTTTCATATATTTGAATTAGATGAATATAATTTAAATTATACATGATTCTGTATGTTCTATATACAATTAGATGTTATTTCTAAAAGAGAAAATTCCCTAAGCCCTTAATAGATTCAGAATAATCTTAGCCATTAAAAAGTACTAGTATACATAAAATTACAGCAAATGCAAGTTACTTTGTGTAAGTAACAGTTATTTGATAATATGGGCTTTAATAGGTTTGAAACCATATTTGAATTTACCTCGAGGTAAGTTTGTATGTACACAAATTAAAACCAACTAAATTAAATCATTGTATAATATTTGGTTTGCTTAAAAATTTGGAGTTTCAAGTGAAGAAAAATCTGATTATTTTTAGGGCAGATCCTGTTTTGAAGTCTGAGTAAACATGGTTAAGATTGTTTTGAACTATTGGATGCCACTTAAATGAAGTATTTTTTATCATCCAGCTCCTAGGAAAATATGGGATTCATGTCTTCAAAAGATATATTAAGATGGGTAACAGTGTGCTGGCTTTGTGAAGAATTTGAAACTAGACTGTTTGTTTCCTCCAGAGGACTTTGTGTTTTTTGTGCTTTTCTTTTTCTGGACTTTCCCTGTTTGTTCAATGGCTTAAAGGGGCCTTTAAATGAATCACTAGTCAGTAATTTGTTCATTTTAAAAGTATTTACTTCTAAAGTTGCCCAGATGGAAATGAAAAGACTAGTTAGCTTTAGGACTATCATGAAGCAAGGATCTAGAGTGGTACAGGGTGACAGTGGAGTATTTAGAAGTGGTATTTAAATGGTGCATTATGATAGGAATTCTACTTTGAATTGCAACAATATTGCTCAGGAATTCAGTATTTTTCTTCCAAGTATGTGCATATTGCACTGTTAGATTACAGACGTTATCTGAATGCTTTAATACTTTTCATGTATGCAAAATCTATAAATCTTTTGTATAATTTATTTTATACAAATACAAATGTAATTATAGAGAATTATGCCAGCATGTACATCTGTAAATTGGTTTTTAAAACTTTTGCCTCTTATTTTTCATATAAAAGACCTGCAAAATGTAATAAAGTTTATATTTTATTATTTAATCTAAAATGGATGCCTGTGAGTTTAATTGAATAAAGCAAACCTTTTCTACTCTGTTCAAACTGCTTGATTAGAGATAACTGTGTAAAAGCAAATTGCTAAAGATTCACCAATTCACATTTCCCCTTGTTAAACAAAATCCAGTGGAGTATTTGTAGAACATAAATGAAATGAATCAAAACAACTTTTAGATGAATGTTCTTTGGGGGGAGGGGGTTCTCACAGATAAGGATTTGGTAAGGCATGGGCCAAGACTTGCAATGAAGCCCCTGTTTATGTGTGAATTTTAAGAATATAAAATCACCTTCCCATTTCAAGGTAAATTAAGTTTTGGGCGGGCTCCCTGGCCTGATGGGTGAACTGTGTGGCTGAGTCCTGTCCCTGGCCTGTGCCCAAACTCTTGAAGGGAGGGAGAGATGGTGAATAGATTGCAGCCTGATCATTCCCTTTTGGGGGTTGGGGGTGCAGATGCTTTTTCCTCTGGCATGAGTACATGTGCCCTAATTTTAAGTTTTTTTCCTCCAAAGAACTATTCATTTCCATTTGTTATTTCTTAATTTGACCAAAGAAAGACAGAAAGAGAAAGGAAAAGTGAGAAAGTAAGCTGCCAAGTTGGGACCTGAACCATGGTCAGCCATGTGGGAATCCAGTGCTCTGGCCACCATGCCACCTGCCAGCCCCAATAGTAAAGATATTTAAATTACAGATAGCAAATAGAATTGAAAAAGTACTGTGAGGCCTTATTTACTTAATGGAGGAATTTATGGCTTAATTTTTTTTTTTTTTTTTTAATTTTAAAGGCATCTTGGTCTTTAAAATAAATTTTTACTAACTCAAAGACTTTAACCATATTAAACCAAAGCCACTAACACTGTACATTTGAAGGTAGCTCTGAGGGAAGAAAAGGTTACCTACCAGGAGTCCTGTGAATTAGCATTCCCTATCCATAGTAACAGTTCAAAACAACAGTGATAAACTAAGATACTTGTACTAAATCTCTGGGTTATAACAATGTTCTTCCTATCATATACCTGGAGTGTTTGTACTCATTCAATGATATTTGACTAAGCAATCTCTGCTCAGTAAACATCGTTATTTTACTAGATCAATCTGTACCAACAGATTAGTTTACCAAATAAGTAACATTTAAGTTCAAGGTAAAACATCTTCATAAAATACAAAAGGACACAATTTTGTTTTGTAAGAATTTAATGTGTAAACAAATACAGAAAAATAAACATAGCAAACAAATATTTTTGTTTAGCAATTTTAAAGACACTTCACCAACAAGTACTATTTTTTTTTCCATTTAAGAGGTTATCTCTGCAAAATAATGTTTATCTTCCTATGGAATAACATCACAGTTTCAGATATTAACCAAGAAAAACAAGATTCATGCTGGTAAAGCAATCTGCAAATCCTGCCTGTTCTTGTAATTAGTACACTTTAAAATTCTAAGAAAGATTTTCCAAAGTGGGGAAGAATACACTTAAAGGAGATGGTAGTGGGACCAGCAGATGGTGTAATGGTTACGTCACTGGACTCCATGTAGTCAACCGTGGCTTAAAACTCATGCCAGGGGCGTGTGTTCACGTGCCCAAGATCCCAAGAGGAGAATGGAGGAGAAGGGATTGCGGCATGGCCATCCCCCGGGGAGTGATTTTTCGCTTCCTGTCTCTCCAGCAAGCACACACACCTTATAGCAAACATCTCCCTTTATATATATATATATATATATAAATATGAAGATAGCTGGAACCTTTCAGAGTGGATCCTTACCACCCCCCAAAGGGCTCCCTACTATCTGTAGGACAAAGAAAAAACAATGGTACAGATGAACTGAAAGTTAGGAAAAGAAAGAAACGTATCTGATTCATGCAGTCATCCTTGTCATACAGTAAAGCAAGTAAGCAGAACTGTACAGGTAAGTTTTCTATGAACTAAATGGTATCTGGCTCCAGTACTAAGGAGGTGAGAGAAAGAAAACACCTACATTAATTATCAATGCCAAATGACAAATTTATTTGTCCACTATTATTGAAAACCCTGGGAGGTCTCTAAGATCGCTACTTTAAAACAGATTTCATTTCATGGTTTTTACCTAAAAATCTTAAAATATTTTGATATTCCTTTAAACAAGAAGTAATTCACATATAATCAACATAGCACTAAACTAGTAAGATAGGTCCTCACACCCACCTTGAATTACTTGAGGAAGTATTGCCATTCAGTGATCTTTTTCCTGAGAAAGTCATGTTGTACAATGGCACAGATGACACATTTTCTTGTGTTTCCCACAGATACAGGATGGGAAAATTAGATTACAATATATTTTAGGAGGAAAATGCTTGTTTCTCAAAACTGTTCTCAGATTAAAAAAACAAACAAACAAACAAATAAACAAAAACCCCTTTTTTTGTTAGCGTGCACACGCACTTGAGAGAGAGAGAAAGTGAGAAAACCTCCCCCATAGGAGATGGTCACACTGCAATCCTCCCTCCACTCCTCCTCTTGGAATTCTGGGCACGCACATGTGGTCAGTTTCTCAAGCCGCCAGATCCAGGACTCGAACCTGAGATTGGCCATATAGGGCCCAGCTGCCCTAACCAGCACAATAGTTGGCCCTCAGATGCTTCCTAAGCTGTAATTTTTCAGAGAGTGAAAACAAAATTGAAGTGATCATTTCTATTAGGTAAGAGAATTAATGCATAGGATAAAGTTTGGTCTTGATGTTTATACAGTTTTCATAGAAAATTGTTTACAAGTTGAGAAGCTAAGGCACAGAAACTTAACCAAGCTCATTTTCAAAGTGGAGTTTAATAATAAAAGTGGAAACAAGATCTAGGGCTCTGATTCTCAGGTTAGAGGATAATGGCTGATATCCTCCTGAAAGTGAAAAATATTTTGGTAATATTAAGTCATTTTTGAAATACATAATTTAGCGTGCACATGCACTTGGGAGAGAGAAAGTGAGAAAACCTTCCCCATAGGGGATGGTCACACTGCAATCCTTCCTCCATTCCTCCTCTTGGAATTCTGGGCACACATATGTGGTTAGTGTTTCTCAAGCCACCAGATCCAGGACTCGAACCTGAGATCGGCCACATAGGGTCCAGCTGCCCTAATCAGCACAATGGTTGGCCCTCAGATGCTTTCTAAGCTGTAATTTTTCAGAGTGAAAATGAAATTGAAGTGATCATTTCTATTAGGTAAGAGAATTAATACATAGGATAAATTTTGGTCTTGATGTTTCTACAGTTTTCATAGAAAATTGTTTACAAGTTGAGAAACTAAGGCACAGAAACTTAACCAAGCTCATTTTCAAAGTGGAATTTAATAATAAAAGTGGAAACAGGAGCTAGGGTTCTAATTCTCAGGTTAGAGGATAATGGCTGAAATCTTCCCAAAAGTGAAAAATACATTTTGGTAATATTAAGTCATTTTTGAAATACATAATATGAATTTCTTTAAGTCTTTGGCATTTGTGAGAGTCTTTGGAGGCTGAGGTTTACATGGTACTGCCCCCACCCATGTAAAAAGGCAGGGGAGCTAGCTTTCAGTTGAACAAAAAACATGAATCCTAATTTAAAAATAACCTGAGTTCATTTGGCATGATTATATAAACTGACTGTATAGCTTATAAGTCCCGTGAAATGTAACAGAGGCTGTACACCTCGGAGTTCATGCACATGTGTTCTCCAGTGAAATTTATACGACCAGAACTTACTCTACACTTCAAAGTGCAAACTTAAATAAGATGTCTCGTTCTAATTTTCCATTACCCCAACTATTCAGAGATGTCCAACTTACTACATGGGACGACCATTAGCTTCAAGTTTAAGAATGTATAATATTGATCCCACACGAGTCTCCTCGTACCACTGAGATACGAGCAGTGGAATTTACATCGCTCAGATTGGCAGTTCCCTCTGTACAAGCTTTTAATCACAGAACATCTAATCTCATCAATTTATACTTGTAAGAGCTCAAGTAGGTTAATGTAGCCATAATCTAGTAGTACAGAACATGCTATATAAAACTATTTTCAAGTTACTGTTTTTAAAGTGCTCCATGTGCTATATAAAATTAACTTCCAGATGTGTAGAAACCCATTATGAGTAGTGATGGTTTTACAAAAGACCAGCAATTAAACAAAAATGACTTCAAGTATGAATACGTAGAATAAGAGATGCAAAAATTCTTTAGGCACATTTGAATCCAAGTAATAACAATAAAAAAAAGACTACTAAAGTACTTAAGAGGGATGGGAGAGGCTGTGACGGAATGTCAGCGTGTCGGGGGCTAAACTGTAAGGTAACAGAATGTGAACTCAAAGTGGTTCTGCATATCTGAGTACCAAACATTTGTCCAACAAAACAGGAACAAAAATAAAATACTTACTCGATTCTTATCAGAAGAAAAAACATAAAACATGTCTGTCCCAAAGGCTTAGAAGCTGTACCATAAAGATATTTTTAAAGAAACTTCATGGCTAATAGGTGGCTTCATCCATGTTGTCGTCACTGTCTGCACCAAAATCATCTCCGTTATCAAAGTATGAATTAATGTAGTCATTTTCCTATGAGAAACAATATATTCCTCAGTAAACATGAGCATGAATGAGTAAAAAAAAAACATTAAGAATACAACACAGACTGTCCATGTAAGTTTATAATTACTAGATTTAGTTAATAAGAAAATACACCTAGGGACCAGCAGTTGGCAATGTGACAATGACACCTGACGACATTAAGGAGTTATACTTCACTGTGTGACATGTAATGATGCTGTGATGTTAGTGAAGAGCCCTTATTTTTTTCTTTTTTTGGAGAGGTTTTTGCTATAGGGCGCATGCGCTTGCCAGAAAGAGAGAGAAAAAGAGAGAGAGACAGAAAGCGAGAAATCACCCCTCAGGAGGGATGGCCACGCCGCAATCCCTTCTCCTCCATTCTCCTCTCAGGATCTTAGGCATGCACGCACATGCGCCCAGTGTGAGTTTAAGCCACCAGATCCGGGACTCGAACTGCAGTCAACTACATGGGAGTTCAGCGACATAGCCATTACGCTAACTGCTGGTCCCAAGAGCCCTTATATTGTTTAGTCCATACTGTAACACGTACGGGGAACTGATGTGATGCCCAGGGTTGGCTGAACAGTTATCCGAGGCAGATGGGAGTAGGGAAGGGGTACAGGCAGGGATGGGGGGGTGTATGAAGGGCTGAAAGAGTGACTGTGAACTGATCCTCGTTAGGCTGGCTAGCAGGTACACAGGTGTCTTACTAGCTGATAAGATTTCTGTACGTGACTGAAATCTACCATAATAAAAAAGCAACCTCCACATCTCTACTGTCTAGGTAAGAAACACTATTCTCAAAAAAAAAAAAAAAAAGTCTGCTGGGTATCAGCTGTATTATTTTCCTGAAGGTTTTCTTTTTTAGTATCTAGATGGTGGGATTTTATATATAAAGATACATAAACAATGCCAGCATTCAGGTATTTCATTACTTTATCTTCCCTAAATACTTTAAGTTTCTGCATTCAGCTAAGACTCCTCACAGCTCCAGAAAGCTAGCTGGACTTCACTAATGCCAGGAAACCCAGGAATGTCTAGAAAGCTGACTGAGAACAGGGGGTGAAGGGTGTGAACCAGGAAGGGATGGCATGGTTAAGACAGTTAAGAGTTTAAATCAAGACATTTTGTAAATGAGACCTAGGCAAGAACACTTGTGTGGAAATAGAAACAAGCCGATTAGTACATAAAAGTGGAAATGATTAAGAGAGGGATACTAGTTTCTAAACCATCAAATGCCGGGGATAACAGGTGGCATAGTGGTTGAGGCACTGAATTCCCACATGGCCGACCACAGTATGAGTCCTGGACCCAGCTTGAAACTCACACCAGGTGTATGTGCATGTATGCCGAAAATCCCAGGAGAAGGGCTTGTGGTGTGGCCATCCTCCCAGGAAGGGTGATCTCTCATGTTCTCTCTCTCTGTCTCTCTGGTCAGTGCGTGCGCCCTATAGAAAAAAAATCTCTCTGAAGAAAAAAAAAAATTACATGCCACTTGTGTTTTAAGTATCAGCACCTCTTCCAAAGTATGCATGTTCATGGACCCAAATTAAGCAACCTGTGATGTCAGTAATCTTGATAGAAGTATAAAGTAGTGAGCCAGTTGAAACCGATATTTTAAATGGCTCTTGGCTCTCATTTGAGTCTGTGATAGATACTACGATCCACATAGATTGTTTGGGTTTTGTTCCTGGCTCATAACCCTTGAGTAGTCAGAAAAGTTGTGATGCATTTTTTTTCTATGCTTTTCTATGCAAAAATGCATCATGACTCTTCTGACAACCCAATATTTGGCTTTTTGTCTAGTTCCTGAAGTTCCCCAAGCAGGTTATAGAAACAGTCCATAGAGAAATTAGGACCCTATGCCCAGACGGTGGCACAGCGGTAATGCAACAGGGGAGGTTCTGGGCTCAATCTGGAGACCTCGCTGGCATGTCTGCATGAGCGTGCTCTGACCCAGAGCTGGCTGGCTGACTGGAGCTAGGAATGGATACAGCATGAAGACCGTGAGAAGTACCTATCTCTCTGTCTCTCTCTCTCACTCAAGGAAGACACAAACGGACATTAAAAAAAAAAAAAAAAAGAACCAAGGTGTTCATTCTAGAGAGATCCTGGAAGGAGTGCTACAGAGAAGGCAAGGAGAATCTGCAGACAGCCTTGCTGGGCTTCCTCAGTCTGCTAGCATCAGCTGATAGCCACTGCCCAGTCACGTTTCACATGGTCATCCATGCTTGGATCATGTCTATGTAACGAAGTCTCTACCACTGGGCTTCTTTTTATCTCACTCTCTTTCTGAACAAGTTTAAAAAAAAATGAGGAGGAGGAATAAAATTAAATAATTATTTTAGATAAAAACTAAAACTGGGATCAGCATTTAGCATAATGGCTATGTTGCTGGACTCCCATATAGTCGACAGCAGTTCGAGTCCCAGACCCAGTGGCTTAAACTCACACCAGGCGCGTGTGCATGCTGCCCAAGATCCTGAGAGGAAAATGGAGGAGAAGGGATTGGGGCGTGGCCATCCCCCCTGAGGGGTGATTTCTTGCTGTCTCTCTGTCTGTCTCTGTCTTTCTGGTGTGCACACGCACACTATAGCAAAAACCTCTCTAAATAAATAAATAAATAAATAAAAGGGGAAACGGAGGATGAGAAGTACTGTCTCAATCATTTCAGAGAGCAACAGCAATAAAACGAATGATCTGGAAAGAGAGCAGAAGACAATGTGATTAATTTAGAAACAATTAGACTTGAAATTTATCTGGAAGAATGAATAGAACACAGGAAATTATGATGAAGAAGGACAGCAGGGAAGACATGCCCTACAAATATTAACAAATAATCAGAAGCTTCTATAAACAGTGTTGGTTCAGAAACGGATCCAGGAAAGGGGCCCTCTAGCCAGTTAAGGCCACTCACCAGGGCCTTGAAGTCACCACCACCATGGCCAGCCAGCCAGTTGCGGGGCACTCAGCAGTTGCTGCAGGCCAAGAAGCGAGCACCAAGAAGGTGTCCTAGGCCTGTGTAGGAAAGAACTAGAGGCTGAAGCAGGCCAAAGCAGCCAGGCTGAAACGGAACCGTACTGCCTGCAGAGGGGGAAAGAG